CCCCCCCCCCCAAAACAAACAACACCCCTCCCCAAATAAAAAATCAGTTGAATTCAGGGAAGGGAATTCTTCCTCCTGTATGGCCTGTGATTATATTTTTTTTACTACTCTGGGTCTTCATTCAGTAAGTCTGCAAAGGGACTATCGGAGAAGGAACTATTGGCCTGAAAACAAACTGTATGGGATATTTGCCAATACTATCCCTGGCATCACATTCTGCTGGCTTCTTATGCCAAGAAGTACTCCTGTGGAAAGAGACTCATCAGTTTCCATGAATCAGCCTCTTTGTTGATCTAAGTCTTTCACAGGAGGTTGCTGATTATGAGCGAGGATCTAGGTGGTTTCTCTGCCCAACAGTACCTGGCTAATCCAGGGAATGGAGCATGCTTGGGTGCCTCCCCTTTGGTCTTGCTGCAAGCTGGCCAAACATGTCTGCATCTCAGTGGGGTTTTGCCTGGATGTGTCTCTAACTAGAACTGCTGTATGTAGATCTCTTTACTCCTCTAGTATTCCTGATGAAACTCCCACCTACCAGATCATTGCCTGTAGCATGATATGCTGTGGGTAGGTTTCTAGCCAAATGAACAGTCCATTGTCCCTGTGGCCTGGCATGTGTTATTGCCAGTCAGTGATGCATTGCCAACCCAGTGATGAAATGGAATATGTCCTCATCTCAATGTGATGTAATAATTCTGGCTGTCTGTTAGCAGGGTGGTCCATAAAGTCTCTTGCTTACTGCCATCCTCTCTACTATCACAACCAACAGATGAGACTTCCCCAAGCTAACAGGGCCTGCAAAGCACATAGGTCACATCTCTAGGACTTTTCTTCTGTCCTTGGGCCTGCTGCTGACCAAGTAAACCCCAAATGAGCACACCAGTGATCAGCAATTAGCCAGAGCAAGCACCCCAGGAGCACCTCAGAGCTGACACCAGCATCACCTCCCCTCCCTGGTGACACTTCCAGGTTCTCCAGGATAGAGGTGCTCACACTCAAAACCTAATGCAGCCATCTCCTTTGCCTAACTGTTAGGGCTTCTTACATTTTATACTTGTTGCTCAAATGTAGATTGGTGTTAGTGCTAGCTTGAATTGGGAGCAATTGCAATGCTAAAAACCTTCTTTGAGTGTCTTCCACCTGCACAGCTGTGACTTGCTGCTGGTGAGCAGGGCATGACTAGTAGCTACAGCTATGAGTTGCCACTACAGGGCTAGTGAGCCCAAACAAGCTGCTATCCCTGCTTTAGCTCCGGAGGTGTAAGAGATGGGTTACAAAGTGGGAGGGGAGGGTCAGAAACATGAAACTGGGAGGCAGAGAGTTAATGGGAATGGGGGGTGAATTATGAAAGAGAAGGTAGAAAGGAAATGGGGGTGAGAAGGGTGGTGAAATGAAGGAAGTCGGCCACTAAAGGGTGAAATAAAAATTATAAAGAGGCAAATTAAAGAAGGTCTCCCATTTTAATAAACTGGGAATGGGGTATGAGAGGTGCTAGTCATACTTGCTGCGGTGGCTGAGAGGTAGGAGCAGTGAGGGAAGGTGCTTTTGGGAGAGCTACTGCTCCTGCCCTATGAAGCAAGCCCCAGCTCATGGGAACCTGATCTGGACACCTTCCTTGTTTTTGTTTCCTCCCCCAACCCCCTTAACCCCACTCTTGGACCCACCCTGCAACCTGGGTAGCTGGTATGTGCTCTACAGCCCGTTTGCATGGGGTTGTACCCCCGGGGGTCAGAGTTGGCTTGGTGCCAGAACCACCCCCTGGGCAGTGGAGTTCAGGGGGTGCAGAGTCTGTCTACACAAAACAGAAGGGTGGGGGAGGGCACACTGCATCCTGGGATGCTGGAGGACTGCAACTTGGACAGCTCATCTGTGGGGAATGGCCGTACACTAGTGGACCACGAAACATAAACATGCCCTGGAGTGGTGTGGCTTTAAGCTACCTGCAGTGTGCTTAAATTTAGTTCCAGGTGTTCATGTGTGGACAATCCAGGGGTTCAGAGCTCCAGGATCCACCCAAAATTAATGTGCGACAAGGTCCTTAGTCTCTGCTGTGCCTGAACAGGACCAAATGCATGGAGCTTCTTTTGTTCATACTGGACCCAGGGTCAGGATGGAGGTAATGCAGACATCCTCATGGAGGACAAGAATCTGGACTGGACCCCTGTGGTCGGGATTTGGTAGACAAATCCATCAGTGGTTTAGCCAGTGTGTGTGCTCTAAAATAGCAGCACCCAGTTCATTCCTCTGTGCTAGGGTTCCAATTGCAGAGGTAACAATGTTCAGTGACAGCAACAGGAACAGCTTGTCACAATCACTGCATCAGCTGTCAAATCAAGTAGACAAATTAAAAAAAAAAAACCAGACAGAAAACAAAATAAACTGTTAAAGAAATGGATATCACTTCCAATCAGAACCAGATTTTCTGCTGAGTTGAGCTCCTCTGTAGGCACCAGAGCTTCAAAATGAGATTATTGTACTGGGTTCATATGAGGAGCTGAGCTTGGCAAAAAAATCCTCCCACAAGTCACTATGGGACCTGCTGGGGGTGGAGCGCTTTGGAATGTGGGTGTTGAGCACTTGAAAATCAGTTCCTTAGTATTGTCTTCTCCCAGGACTTACAACTCAGGTCTGTTCCAGGTTGGCAAAGAACCTACTGCTGCTTCCCAGGGGAACTGGAATAGGGTGAATAAGGGAAAGATCAGTCGGCAGATTGATCGCTCTTACAGTAGTGTCAGGCTCTATCCAGGCTGTCTAAGACTTGCTCAGGGGGGATAAGATACTTGAAGAGCCTTAATGAGATAGCAGTCTCCCATCCACCTGGATGGACTTAGCACTGTGAACAGAACCAAAGCTGATCTTCAGTCAAGGCCCCCAGGTCCCACGACACCAGGTGAGCCAGCAGAGACCCTCCAGCAGACCACTTAGTAAGAGCTGTGCTGCTTCTGTCTTGGATGGAAGAAATTTTTTTCAGATGGTAATGGTTTCCAGATGGGACCTCAGGGCCCATCCAGAATGGGTCCTGGCTAGGAGCTTTGCTTTGAGTCAATGTTCCTTGCTCACTTGATGGGGTTGGCTGAAGCTGGGGAGTTACGAGGTTCAAAGCTGCCTGCTCTGCAGAATTTGATTGTGG